CAGTGAAAAATGGAGAACACTTCCAACGTGATGGGGTTATACTTTGAATCTTGATCCAGAAAAATTGATTTACACCTTAAGTTTCCTTCCGACGAAAGTAATGTGTAAACACTATTAATTTTCATTAATGTAAACGTATATCTATATTTTAAAGATTTCAAAAAATTGAGAGGATTAACTAAATAATTTTCAATCATGTAAAATCATTGAAGAGTACACACCCAATGAATATGCCTCTAAACAGTAAAATTCCCTACAAATTTTCTTACTCTGGATCCACATAGATCGAGTTATTATTAGAATAAGTAAGATGATACCGTAAATTAGGTAACTAATTCTGAGTTTTAACGTGGCTTAAGAATACGAAAAGATTATTTGAACAGCCCTTGATTTTTAAAGAAGAAAAGTAGCTTCAATGGTACTTTTTACAGCCAAAAATTGTTTACTTGGTACCCACGAATTTTCCTTCGAAGCATGTTTCCGTTAAATTATCAAAACTACCTCCAATACTGCGATACCTGATTCAGAACTCACCCTGAACATGTGTCTGCGCGTGTAGCGACCCATTTCAAAAGTTAGTGGAGCTTTCCACCTTCTCTATTCTATCAGGGTCGCAGAACGTTAGATCGACCATTTCCGTAGAATGTCTCAAGGAAGCTCCGAGCTTTCGAAGCTTGCCGTCGGTAAGTGACGCGACGTTGTAGCAGGGTAGCATGGACACGACGAGGGATGAACCCCAACGCGAGTATCGATTCATTTTCCGATACTTTTCCTGTACTTCAACTATTTCCAATCTAACGTAGAACCTCGTCCGATAGTGTACTTTTCAATTGAAAATATCGCACTAGAAAAATTATAAATAAAAATGAACAGAAATAGTATACTTATTTCATGACAATTGAGTTAGTTTTGTACAAAAATATTTGACATCTATATTTTCTTTCATAATTAATCATAAGAAATATGATAATATTAGACGATACTGATATTTTGATTTAATACAAATTTTTATATTTATCTTTAATATTACCAAATTTGGATATGAATGATTGATTATTTATAATTATTTTAATTATAGGAGTTATTTTTTAAAATAATAAACATTTATTAGGAATATTAATATTATTATTTTGTATAATTCCATTCTTTTGTTTTAATCAATTTGTAGAAAATGGGATAATTAACGGTTAGTGTTAACGCTGAAAGCATCACGAGGCCGGAGCAGCTCGACTGCGTTTTTTTCCCAACGCGATTCCGTGTTTCGTGTTTTATGCTCGGGCAACAAAGGAATCAGCGCGCGTGGTACAACGCGCACCGGAAATTGGTTCGGTCGGAAGTTTACTCCCGCAGGTGACACACGTTAAATCGGCGCCGGCGGCTCGTAATCCTTTTCATCGTTCGCTGACGCGCCCGATAATGGCGTGTGACGTGGTAATGCCCTTATTCTGCCGCTGCGCGGCCCGGTCACACTATTCATCTCGTATCCTGCGTTTACTAGTGAAAATAATTGGCTGCGAATACGGGTCAACGGGTGATTGCAGACGCGCAATTCGTCTGTTCGCGTGAAACGATGTTCAATTCGCAACAATTAACTCTAGATTTACGGAATGCGGCAATTCGGCGCACATTGAATTTTGTAAACATTATTTGTTAAACGTTTATGTCGATTTTTATTGATGCAATTGCACGAATGCTTGATTGTCTATTTTTCGAATCCCGATTTTCCGAGATCTGGTGTTAAGTACATTTTCTTTAGAAAAGTATGATGTGCATATATTTTTCAATTGGTAAAAGTGAAAATAGTTGGTGTCGAAACTATTATATAAATTGTTTATGAAGATGTTAATGTAATTGTTAAAAAAAATGAAAATTTGTAGTTTCTGAAATTTACTTCTAAAAAAAGGTAAATAAAGTTTGATGGAAATAAGAAGAAAGTTATTTGTGATTTAAAGGTGTGAAGCTTTCAATGCACAAATAGGGAAAATAAAGTAATGATTAACCCTTTACGGGCGAATGTCGACATTTCAATCACAACTGATTTAATGATTCAATTAATATATAATTTAGCTTCATCTGCTGAAGGTTTTGCATATTTCAAAGAATCGTCTTCAGCAAGAAGTTAACTCTACGGTGAAAAATAGTAAAAAAATAATATTTTTAGAAACTTTTTAGCTAAAAAGAGTTCAAACTTCGCATACAAATTAAAAATAGCGGTTAAAACTACAGCAAATAAGGTAGCTCTCTTGAAAACTACAGAAAATGGAACACTGTAAATGAGAAAATGTACTTTTGGATAAGGTATGTATTTAAATGTATTCAAAATCGTTTCCTATAAGATTTTTAAACGATAAATTCCACAATCTCCGATGGGAACGATTACACCTGAACTTTTCCGCATTTTTCGCAGAACACAGTTTCCGAGCTTGTAATCAACGGTAATAAATTTCTATTACATTTTAAATCATAACTGTCACAGTACAACCCGAAAATTGATCTTCGACTCTTCCCACCTCCATTAATTACCAGAATATTCGGCCGACCGCATTTTCCCGGTCGCAACTCCGAAGGCTGTCCTCGTCCCTTCAATAAGAATGACAGCCGCCAGTTAAGACGGCCGACGAATATTTCATTAAAAGCTACACTCAAAGTTTCATAAAAATCGGCAGATGCCACTCCGATAGGTTCCATCGGGAATATTAATATCGAGGAAAGACGCGGCACGAAATAGGCTGAGCGAAATCGACTTTTAATTAACGAGCATCTATTACCATGCAACAACGGCCGAGTTCAATAAATTCATCGGGCGATTTTACGAGAATACGCGCTATTAACGACGCGCGCGGATCAGCCATAAATGTCACCGATTAGGGCGAAAGGTCCCCGGCAAAAAATCGAAACCAGTTATTAAATTACAGCGGCGAGCGCGTGTCGTATGCAGCTAATGTTTTCAGAAACCGTTCGACGAACCCCCATAAATAAATAGGCGAACGCGCGTTCTCCATGGGAATAGCTGTGACGGTCGGAAAAATCGTAAATGAAGAACGCGCACAGAAGAATGCACAATGTAGAGAACGCATAACCTATAAATCTATCTGTACATATCACCTTGATGCAAAAATTTTGAGATTTTGAGAAATAAAAAGAGTTTTTCAATTTTTATGGACTTGATCCTCCATAGACTTTGTCATTAATATATTGGCATTTTGTTAATTGGCAAACATCAATCAATGCAGGTAGTGTTTATAAAATCATAAACTCGTTAAATTTTATAATGCAATAATAAAATTGTTAAAGAAAATCAACGATTTTTTAGCTACAAATGGACTTATTTCACTTCCAAAGGAAACATTTTTGCGACAGAATTTTACAGTTAAACTTTTGTAGATTAATTTATGAGGATATCTTATGTCGTTGATTGTGTGAATATAAAAAGAGGGCATATATCTCACTAAAACTACCATTAACTCATTTTTCCCCAAAAATGGATTTATATCACTTTAAAAATAGACTACACATATACACAGATTATGCATATTTTACATTGTGCACATTTTACATCATACGCTTTTTTCTTATGCGCTTTCGTCCGGTTGTGAGATGATTTCTCTAGCGGATAGACACAGGGGCAAGAAGTGTGGTTTTAAATTATAGTTCCACAGTTTTGATTGGTCACTTGTAACCGTACTGACGACCAGTAGATCAGTGACCGAACATAATAGGAATTAGGAAATAATAGGGAATTGAGTAGGAAAAACTGAAAATTGATCGATCAATTGAATTTCTCAGCGTAGCCAACAAATGATCTCCCTACAGTACATGTGCGTTTTCTTCTGGCTACGGATAAAGGTTCCGGTAAGCACGATCGGATAAAAAGAACGAAAAAATACGGGGAAAAGAGGAGAATAAGGAAGGGGAGAAGACCACCGCGGAAATTATATTTTAAATGCACTGCATTGTTGGCGTTCGATCGACTGCATTGTCCGCGCAGGGCTAATTGACGGTCGCATAAATCATTTTAACGTGCATTAATTCACCACTTACACATTCTAATGGATAGTCACGGGACAGGGGAGGGCAAACCGGTGCTGCTTGATATTCAAGAAAAGTGCGGCCAATTTGCGGCGCGACGGACGTTTCAACTTTGTGATAACGAACATCTGCGAGCATCTCGTCACCGTCATCGACGCGATTGGAGGTTCCGTAATAAAGAATCATTACCTGCGGACTGACTGTGGAGGAATACCTTTTTAGGGCAACGGACACGTTCGATTACAGACGAACAACTTCGGGTCGTCGAAGATGGCGGCGCTCGGAACATGAAATTTAAATATCACGGCAAATTCGAACGTTTACGACGAAAGATAGTTTTTAACACTTCGCACTTATTTTAAATGTTATCAGCCGTGAACTTGTATTTATTTTTACGAAAATGAATGAAAGTAATTTACAGCGGTGGAATTCAACGTTTTATATTTTTTTTATTTCTTATTATTATTATAAGATTTAATTTTTGTATTATTTTACAGTATGGTATTTTAAATAGCAAATTTTAAAACTACCAGACGGGTCAAAATGACTCATTTCCTGATTTCTTCATTACGCGAATATTAAAAATATAACGGATGTTTCTCTGAGAAATTGTTTGAAAAATTGATTTAGCAATAGGCAAACTGAATGGTAAATCAATTGAAGACTCAACGGATGCACTCTTGAAGTGTTTACAAAGGAATTTCGAAAAGTCAATTTATCTGCTCCGTAGTTTTAATGTTAATATCTTCCTTTTCTTCCGAAATTTCTTAGAAAATATTAATGTTTCATGTGCAATTTCTGAGATGAAATGAGTAAATGTTGCGAAAGAATATAACAAAATCGGAAAGCAAATATAGTATAATAAATATTCATCAATAATTAAAAGTAACTGTTAACTTAGTGTAAATCTATCGGCAATAATAATAACGGAAATATAACCATACATGTAACAATATTAATTCATTACTCACCCTTACTAGCAGCACGAATAACAGCACAGCATATTCCTATTAAACAAAAAATTATAGATAAGTACAATAACAATAATCCTTAAAACCTAACAAAATAAAATAAATTTCACTATAAACTTCATTGAAGTAAGACATAATTATTGAAATAAAGAAAATTGCTATGTCAGTTAAGAACCATCCAAAAAATTAAATATCCACTTCTATGTAAATTTATGCACACCTTACCACTGATTTCATAAATAATACAAAACAACGAATTAATAATAATCCAGAGAACATTAATCCTTTCAAATTCCGGAGTCAATCGGATGTTTCTCATTTTTCAGTTTCTTCGTAAAACGAAGATTTTCCAGTTCAGTCCACAATGAATAAGATACATTTTTTAAAAGGACACAAAATGTAAAGTTCCGCGCGGAGCATTATTATTTTTATTAAAACGACTAAACACGACATTAAGTAATAAATTTCGACTGTACGGTCGCACGGCAAATTACCCGGCGTGCACCCTGTACCCCGGAATTCTTAACATCTCGTGTCGAGCTTCCGTGCGCCGAAAGAAATTGCACCCTTTTGAATTACACGTGATCCCAGACGTCGCGAATGAGACGCTTTAATGGTCGCATTAAGGGCAACACGCGAAACTAACGAAGCTGCTCGGGATAAAAATGTCGAGTAACAATTTCTCGACAGTCAATACGTCGAATCGTTTATTGGTGCCTATTAAAGGTAACTGTACATCCGATCGCGGCGCACCGTATATTGGTACACATCCGGCGAGCGAGTTCATTTCATTTAGCCCTAAATCTTGCTGTTATCGAGTCCGAATTAATGGCATCGATGTTATCATACCGCCTTTAAGAACTTCCGCGCGGATTCAGCGTTCATTCAGATGTTGCTATAAATTCCGCGAACGACCGTGGACCGCATACGTCTTCGGATAGCGTTTACGATGCGCATTTTCAGTAGTTTATCAGACGTGCAGGCAATTCTTTATATCTTTCGTAAAGTTATATGAAATACGCCAAATTCTTAATGGAATCGTTTCATGTAAACTGATTCTGTTTTGATGCACGGAAAACAAATCGACTGAACTCGCGGTTTAAATTAATTTTTGAGTTTTATTGGTTCATTATATACCTAAGAACTTTGTCGCGGTTTTAATAAAGTTATAAGGATGGAGTATCAAATTAGTTGGAAAACAATTGAAAACCTTTACTGATTGCTTTAATATAAATTAATGCAGTTTAAAATTTGTCTTTTATATATTTATAACTTTTTTCTTGAAAAAACGAACTATATGTATTTATGTTACGAAAACAACAAAAATATTATAAAAATGCAAGTTTACTAGCATAAACACTAAAACTTTTGGCAAGAATGAGATACTAATACATCAACAACTAGCAATGACACGGTGCAATGCAGCGCAGAAGTAAATAAAATTTACCTCGCAATAAAAATACGTAAATCCTACAATTGTAAAATAACATACAGAAATAATTGAAGTAATTATAATTTTCAAATTCAAAAACTATGTCGAGCCCTACTCGACGATGGACCTGCTGCAAGAGAATGTTATGTCAAACTCGACGTTGGATCCCAAAGGATTAACAAGTGTACAGAATATCAAATTATAATATATTACATTAAGCATATTTTACTTTATACATCGTCAATTAAGTCGCAATGTTTTCCGGATAAAAAGCTTCGCTTTGCCTCGAGCACACAAGAAAAACGCCGTGACGCGTGGTCAGGTGGTAAGCGTTAAATTCAACGTGAAATCTCCGCGTCAACTCTGGTGCAGCCTCGTAAAGCAAGGATCGGAAGATGTCCTCTCTTCGGGGACTCAATCACCGAGGTTTGACGGGTGTCGCGTGAACCCGTGTTTCAATTTGCAGCGCCGCCCGTTCGATCAATTAGGGGAATTTCGGGACGCGGAGAGACGAATCGGCGAGAGAAGTCGCTTTCTCCCATGGCGTGGGGGCCACGGGGCACGCGTAAATGCAACCGCCGGCCCCATAAAAAATTTAACGAAGGTTTCGACGGCGCGGCGAGGAGCAGGACCAGAGTACGCTCGCGTATTCCGCCAGGAGCGAGGACAACGGGACGAAACGAGAATAAAGAGCAACGCGAAAAGGGACGGCGAAGGGACGCGGGGGGAGGTGGGTGGTGGAAATGGGTCGGGGCGGAGAGGAGGTGGGGAAAAATTAGCAGCAGCACGTTTCAAGCTGCGCAATAATTCCCGAGGCGCGTGTTACTCGTGGGGTACGATGTTTTCGTTTTAAAAATTTATGGGCGCAACGACTCGTGCAATGGCCGCCGCGAGGTGAATTTGCACGAATAAAAGGAAAAAAGGAGGCGCACTGCCTCCAGAGACGTTCACCACGGCGAACGGAAGGCAGCCAGCCGTGCTGCTGTCTCGCTGATTTTAAGTAGGTACACAAGGGATTTTAACCCCTTGGGCTATCGCCGCTTCCGCGTTCGCGACCGTTCGAGGCGTACGGTGTAAGTAGTTTGGATTTTTTTACCGAGGGCAATGAATGCTCTCGAATTTTGACACTGCTTTATGGAGGCTTAAGCTGCGTTTTGTTCTACTGTTATTACACGAGATTTTTGCTTATGTAAATGGAAATTAGAATTTTAACCCTTTGCATCCGTATGTCATGTCGGAAATGACAATGGAAATTTGTTATTTAAAATACTACACTGTAAAAGATTACGAAGATTAAATCTATTATTATTATACTTTAGAGCAAACGTGAACATGAAATGTGCCTAGAATTTTTCTCCTTTTTTAAAGAAATTTTTCATAATAAGGAACTTACGTCGATTACAGTTGAGAAATAAATCTTTAACCCTTTCGACCCTGAATATGTATTATTTTTTAACATGAATTTTGCGACAAAAAATCTTAACCAAAACACATGTACTAACAGCTGGTTACCACTTAAGCTGTCAGCCATAAGCAAAGATCCCCGCGTGGTACAATTATTCTTTATTTAGGCGTTTTCTGGCTTTCCGACAGAGTAAATCGAGACGAATCGGACCGGTTCAGATTTAACAGCGAAAAACTAGTAGTAAAAACTCAGAACGAATATTGTCATCAGTAAAAAGAATGTTTAATAACTCAAAAATCTTCGTTTCATAAGCAAAAAACTGAAGAAATGAGAAATATCCGATTCACTCGAGATTTGGGGTATTTCTCATTGTTCAGTGTTTTACTTGTAAAACGAAGATTTTCGAGTTTTTAAAAATTTGGTCTACCTACAATGTTCGTGGTATCTGTGTGTGCCATTCTGGACCGAAAGGGTTAAAGTTCTTTCGAATACGAATGATACACGCGTAAAGTTAAGAGTCATAATTTGATCGGCGCCCGATAAAGTTCCTGAAAAACGCTAATTGTAGATGCCGACGAAGTGTTAAGCTCCGGCTTCTTTCTTCTTTTAGTAATTAGACTTTTTAGTAATTAATTACAATTACCCGCTTAAGTAAAATGGGATGAAAGGATGAACGTCGGGAGAAAACAAACGATGTACGCGATCCATCCTGTGCAGGATACGCAAGAAAAATGTTTCCGCAGCTGCGATTCGAGAGACCTCAACTTCTTCCCGGTGCTACGGAAATGACGTCCATTGGGAATTCACTGAATTTGTTCGTCCCGGGATGAGACCATGTACACGATGCGTCGTCGTGTAATTGGACGATCATAATTATCTTTGTTGATGTCACTGAAATATTTTATTGATATATAATTTGACCTAAATACACGTACACAGGATGGGACGTAATTCCTGATGCGAAATTGATGTCCGTCCGGTTCATAATCCATCTAATAAAAAAGGAGTAAGTTACCGAAAGAATTCAGAAAGTCCTCGTACGCTGACCATTAGATTAATTGTATTGCAGTAATTGTGAATATTTGCGAAAATCTACGTAACTGTGAACGACTTGTTTATCGCGTCTATTCCGTTACCGATTGCTCCTTATAGGCATGTCCGACAGTGTTTTTAAGCGTACGAGTGCCACGGGTCTGTTAAAAAACCGGTCGAAAAATGTTAAGCGACGCGATCGCGTTTCTTTCGTTTCAGCTCAGAAATTGAATTATTAGGAAGACGAATAAATAAACTTCATTTGATTCTACGAACCAATAGTCTGACGCGTTTAGGCGATCGCACTGTTTGGTGCTCAAACGTTAAACGAAACATTCGAATTATATTATTCTGTTATTCCAAGAATAAACGCAATAAGAAATTCAACAATTTGTTGGAGTCATTGGTATTGTTTAAACATAATTAAGTTGTCCGAAGTGAACTTTGTTGAATTTTCTTATACGATTCTTATACAAATCACGCACCACTTTATAAGAAACTTCAAAAATTCATTGTACCAAAATTCTCTACATTTTCTTATTGAAAACTAACAGAAGCAAATAATAGAGGTCTTGAAATAAGAATTCACGTTGTTTTATCCTACTAAATTCTCTTTCTACACGATTTTGATGTAATTCGATCATCTGAATTAGAAAAGGTCTAGAACCAATCTTTATTTTTCCATAGATAAACATTCTTTCACGCCGAAAGTATCCATCGAGTAAAAAGAGAATTCAGTGTACATTTGTAGAAAGCGTCTAATTAAGTAATAAAGAGCCTGCGAAATATGTTTGTTCCTAACTAATCAGATTCTTCCATATCATCCAATTTACATACTCTCTTACACCGCGCTCACGCGACGTCCGCACCCTAAGAAGCCCAAATCATCGGCTAAGAAAACCCTGTGTAAAAATTTCGGCCATTCAAATCAACGAAATAATTCCACGAATCCAGCATCAGCGATCCCTGTAAACACGTATTGGAAAGGTTAACGCTCCGCCGGCAGTTTCACGTGCTCGTTTTCCCTAGCCTTTAACAAGGTGGATACATACATGAACATTTCACGGATCGCAATTACGTCCAAAGACGGCCCCGCGACGTCTTTCCCGGTGTCAGGAGGATGATCAACGAATAGAAGCTCCGCTACACGATTCGTCGGGACAAAAT